ACAGCTTGTGGGAAAATATATAAAGACTAATTCAATAATTTTACAACTGAAAAAGACCCATAAACAGCAACTTAAAACTGTCTCTAAAGTTTACATAAAAATCATAACAAGGGGTGATCTTCAATTCAGACCTATACAAACTCAAACACAGAAATCTGCAATATTAAAAGATATTTAACTGATAAAGGTATCTTTGCAAGCGGTCTCTAGCTATAAATTAGTCGACAAAAATAAATGGTATGCTATTTTAAAGCTGTGAACTCCCTCTGTCTTCTGTCACATAGATTGTAATCTATTCGAAACCGGATTCCCATTATTATATATTTATATTACTGTATATTATATAATGGTAAAGAGGAGGAGTGGCCGAGTGGGTAAGGCGGCAGTGTGTTAGCGCTCACTGTCGCCGGTTCGACACTCGGTCACAGGCGCTCCGTTTGCTGGGCGAGCAATCGTCCGGTAAAAAGGAACCGCCATCCCCCTCTCCGGCGACGGATTGACGACCCGTCCCGGAAGCGAATTCGTCAAGAAACCATCTCATGATGGCAAGCGTTGGGCCTTCATGGCCCGTTAAGCTACATGATGATGATGATGATGATGATATAATGGTTATACAGGATATATGATAAAGGAAGGAAATCGGTCAGACGCATTGTATTATTGTGAATCAGAGCAGATGTGTAAATTCCATCTGCTCTAATTCACAATAAGAGTGTTCCTTATTATTTTTTTTTTTTAATTTAATTCATCGCCCCCCCCCCCTCAAAAAAAAGATTCAAGTTTTGAAAAAATATTCCTTATAACTCCGATAACAATAGTAAACCGATTTCAAATACTCAATACCACAAAATACCAACAAACTTTAAATCAATTTCACTAAGGCGAGAACTGTGACGGTGGCCGCAACAACTTCTACCAAGTTGAGACCAAAATACTTGTAAAAAATGACTTTGACTATACTATATTGTAATTTAATTTAAACAATATACGGTGGAAATATTCTGTGGTGACGTGTCAAGGAAAACTAATGACAAATCGTTTATATATATATATATATATATATATATATATATATATATATATATATATATATATATATATATATATATATATATATATATATATATATATATATATATATATATATATATATATATATATAAATATATATTATATACAGGGTGATTCATCAAGGATAAGACACTAATTTTCTCAGAATATGTTAATATTTTGAACAATATATATTTCCAATATTTTTAGGTACACATTGTACTATATTTTGACAATTATTTATTACCAATTCTTATAAGCCAAATTGGGGGATTTTTGGTTTTTTTAAATGGCAACATATGTTTTCAATTACATACATTTGTAGAGAATAAAATAAAAAATATGTCAGCGTTTGAATTTTTTATTTTCGTTTATCTGACAATTAGCTATGATTCTGTAAATATACTACATTTCCACTTAATAATTATCATATCTCTTCGGTTTTCGAAAACCGGTAGCACATAAAATTCATATTTATGTTCGCACTGTCCAATTGGCGATAATATTCAAACAACTAAGAAGTCAAAAAAAAAGATTTTTAAATAATGATAGACTAACGGTTCCTATCTACAGATTACCTAATGCTATACCTACTGCTACCTACTGGCTACTGCTATGGTGATAATACATAATATTTGTAGGTACCAGAATTACCACTCTATGGTCTAAAATCTAGTTGTCATTTATTTTACAATATCTATACTCTACATTCAACAAGTATCAACACAGAACAGAATAATATGTTATTTGTTATTATTAAAATTATTATATTTTATAAAGTAAATAAATAATAATAACTAAAACGGTCGTTTACAATCGCATAAGTGTAACATTTGTGTGGACAACCATTGTGACGCGTCGCTATTATTTTTTAGTTAATTCAATTTATTTAAAAAATATTGCTCTATGCTCAAATAGTTTACACAAATTAAAGAATTGTTATTTTTTAATAGTGGTTTAATATAAACCACTATTAATAAAATAATACAATAAAATGAACTGCCCAAAAGATAGATTTACCTAAAGACTTTAGATATTTGTAAACTGTGTAATAAAGTTAAGTATAGTAATCTTGTTAGTTATAATGGATACCAGAACTTTTAGTAAATATCAACTTAATTTAAGTCGGTAGTTCCGATAGTGGATTCGTAGAACTTTACGTGGTTTTCTGATTTCCCATCCAGGAAGATAGCAAAATAGACTCGACGTTACCGTGACGGTAAAATTGTCAACAACGTTGGCATTTTATTTTTTTTAAATAGTTATTTCTTATCATTGAGATTCTGTTCATTGATACTGTAATTGGTACTAATGAAAGTACTAATAAAATTATTTTATCAACCACACATGTCTGTAATGGAATATAAAAAATATAATTTTTTTTTTTTATAGGGAAATAATTAGTATATATTTTTTTTTAGCATACCGGGAGTAAGCCCTATTGTGGCCTAGTTCGGTCGCCGAGGGAGCGCATAGTATTTCTACAAAGCATAGCGTAGAGAGGGGCAGTATTTACTTCTAGTCAGGTTGTTCTGCCAGTAAGCTAGACCACCCGTGACCGGATTCGAACCTGCGACAGTACGCGTAGGTGTCTTTATCCGTCCGGCCACTCTGAACCGTCCGTAATTAATGTATTGATGTTCATTATAATAGATACAGTTTGTTAAAATCTGGGAAATGCTGTCACCTTACGACGAAGATAAGATGTGCACGTCGTAAATATATTACTCCTGATGAACCCAAAGATCTTCTTTTTTCATTACCAGAAAACTGGAAAACAGCTACAATGGATGGTAAGTCAACTAAATTTCAAATTTATGACAACGGAAGTGTACATCTCAATGTCTTGTACATTCTTCTGCAATGTATGGTTTATGAATATTACATTAATGTGTTTCAGTATATTTGCTTAATTGTACGTTATACGAGGCGAATTTAAAGGAAATGTTTGACATTTGAATACGATTTTATTCCAAATAAATTGTAAAATACTTATCGAGATATATTAACAAATTATATTATAAAGACTTTTTTGAAATTAAAACATCTCTTAAGTCCCTAAAAAGCGTTTAATGCCATATGTCATTCATAACACTGAAACACATTAGTGGAGAGGGGGTATGAGTTATATTAAATTTAAGTTTGGGTCTACTGTCGGATTAAGGAATGCCTAATAAGTATCCCTAAAAAATTCTATATTATTCAATTATTTTTCTTCTTTTATTAAGGATAAAATATAAAAAATATTAACTTTTAAACTTTCTTAAAACCTAACTAGATACCTGTAATAAAGATTATAAGTATCTAATTAGGTTGTAGCAACTTAAGAGCTGCTGATCAAGTAAATTAAACCAGTAGAAAAACAAAATCAACGTGTACAGAAAAAAAAAACTTATTAAACCATTTTAAAGTATATTTTAATATTATTATAGTCTGCACAAGATATTACTATTATTGTATTGGTTATGTAGAAAAAAAAATTAAAAAATAAAAATGGTACTATTTAGTACATACTAATACTAACGCATCCGGTAAAACAGAACAATATGAGTCAATGCAATTGTTAAACTTTGTGTACTTAATTAAATAAGCTTGAAATAATTTCTACCAAATCGTATTCCTCTTCCACTCCTTAATTTGGTCTCAAGTCTGCGCCGTGGTCATTAAAGTTGTTATTATAATATTGATCACGATGACCTGTGTAAGCAAAATTTTAGTTAATATAGTTATTTTATTTCAATTCTTTAAATAAAATATCACCGAAAATTACCTGTAAAACTTTGTTGTGTTTTAATAGTTTCCATATGATTGTACTGTAATGTATTTTGATTATTTTGTAATTTATAATCTTTTCTCCACTTGACCCTTCTATTCTGGAACCATACCTAAATAACACAATACATGTTTAGTCAAACCTTCGACTTTTATGGTTTAATTTAGAAAAGAGGTATTTGGTCTTAAAGTTTAACCTCTTTCCAAAATTACAGGTAAGGTTAGGTTCAAGGATATTTTCCAGAAAAATGATGGTACCGAGTTAAAATGTATAATGAATTTTTATTTGTTGTACCTCTATACGCTAAAAGTCTCGAATTTAAGTTATACCTTATCCCCTCCCAAGAGTGTTAGACGGTTTTTTACCCATAATTTTAGAACCTTTTAGTTGAAAAAGTTTTTAGAGTTAGTGACGTTGAGCGTGAAACTGTGTACAAAACGACAAACAAAAAAGAAAAAGAACAGCATTTTCAGAACATCAAATTTTTGAAATGAAAAAATTGTTCCAATTAACACGTTACCCTACTATTTTTGAATAGTATGAGGTGGCCTACTTATTGGACAAATAAATTTGCATCAATCTACAATTCAAGTAAGAACTTTATATATTTTTCTATCTTTTGCCCCTTAAGAGGACGCCACACCGGTCATAAGATAGAAAAATATAAAAAGTTCTTACTTGAATTGTAGATTAATTGTAGATTAACACTCTTGGGAGGGGATAAGGTATAACTTAAATTCGAGACTTTTAGCGTATAGAGGTACAACAAATAAAAATTCATTATACATTTTAACTCGGTACAATCATTTTTCTGGAAAATATCCTTGAACCTAACCTTACCTGTAATTTTGGAAAGAGGTTAAACTTTAAACCAAATACCTCTTTTCTAAATTAAGCCATGAAAGTCGAAGGTTTGACTAAACATGTATTGTGTTATTTAGGTATGGTTCCAGAATAGAAGGGTCAAGTGGAGAAAAGATTATAAATTACAAAATGATCAAAATACATTACAGTACAATCATATGGAAACTATTCAAACACAACAAAGTTTTACAGGTAATTTTCGGTGATATTTTATTTAAAGAATTGAAATAAAATAACTATATTAACTAAAATTTTGCTTACACATAGATCGTCATGGTCATTTGCGGAACTCGTCCTTCGTGAAAAGGAAGAAGCAGAACGGGACAGACAGCGTCCCAACGGGTGAACGGGATAGTCCAGGGCGGCGGGTGCGTGCGTCAACGGCCCGAGAAGACATCGCGAAGCTGTAACATAGAACATGTATAAAAGTTAATAGTATAATTGTAGCATAGTTTTATAAAGTAGTTTGTAAGATAAAAATGTAAATACAATTCCTACGGGGCCCAATGTGCATATTGTTATTGGCCCCCCACTCGAGAAGGAGAAACTGGGGGGGGAAGAATTATCTCATCAGGCAAGTACCTCCCCAGTTTTACTATGGATGCATGCGATATGGAAAAAAAACAAAGGTCATCATGATCAATATAGAAATAACCACGATAAACAATGACCACAGCAGAATTGAGACCAAATTTAGAAATGGAAGAAGAATAAGATTGGATAGATATGTCAAGCTTATTTAATTAAGTTAACATATTTTAACAATTGCATTAACTCATATTGTTGTGTTTTACCGGATGCAATAGTATTAGTATGTACTAAATAGTACCATTTTTATTATGATTTTTTTTTTCTAAGTAACCAATACAATAATAATAATATCTTATGCAGTCTAATAATATTAAAATATACTTTAAAATGGTTTAATAAAGTTATTTTTTTCTGTACCCGTTGAATTTGTTTGTCTATTGGTTTAATTTACTTGACCAGCAGCTCTTAAGTTGCTACAACCTAATTAGATACTTATAATCTTTATTACAGGTATCTAGTTAGGTTTTAAGAAAGTTTAAAAGTTAATATTTTTTTATATTTTATCCTTAATAAAAGTAGAAAAATAATTGAATAATATAGAATTTTTTAGGGATACTTATTAGGCATTCCTTAATCCGACAGTAGACCCAAACTTAAATTTAATATAACTCATACCCCCTCTCCACTAATGTGTTTCAGTGTTATGAATGACATATGGCATTAAACGCTTTTTAGGGACTTAAGAGATGTTTTAATTTCAAAAAAGTCTTTATAATATAATTTGTTAATATATCTCGATAAGTATTTTACAATTTATTTGGAATAAAATCGTATTCAAATGTCAAACATTTCCTTTAAATTCGCCTCGTATAACGTACAATTAAGCAAATATACTGAAACACATTAATGTAATATTCATAAACCATACATTAGCAGAAGAATGTACAAGACATTGAGATGTACACTTCCGTTGTCATAAATTTGAAATTTAGTTGACTTACCATCCATTGTAGCTGTTTTCCAGTTTTCTGGTAATGAAAAAAGAAGATCTTTGGGTTCATCAGGAGTAATATATTTACGACGTGCACATCTTATCTTCGTCGTAAGGTGACAGCATTTCCCAGATATGAACAAACTGTATCTATTATAAATTATAATGAACATTAATATATTTATTATTTCCCCATAAAAAAAATATTTTATTATTTATATTCCATGTATGGTTGATAAAATAATTTTAAAGGCCCAGAATGCGGTATAAACTTAGTACAGTCGTTACCAGATAAGTTGGCACAACGGCGGGGGCGTTTATCAATTTTTGTTACTACAATTATTATTATTACAAATTTTATAAAAATAAACTATCAACTATATTTGACAAAGCATAATAGACAAATATAGGTTTTTTAGGTTGTTTTTCACGAAAAATCGATTTCGATTTTTATCATAAAATCAGTCAGATCATATCAAATCTTTTCTTTAATCATAAATATTTGTTTATTAATGAACATTTTTTTATTAAAAAAAAAAAAAAAAAAAAATACGTCTTAGTAAATTTTTGTTTTTTGCATATTTTGTGAGTAAAAAGTGTAAAATGTGCCTTACGAATAAAATTAAAAATAACACAATTTTTTTATTTTAAGATTTAAAAAAAAAATAGAAATAAATCTCGGCTCATTCCCGTTTTTGGACGAAAATATTTAGTTTGAGTCTCTGATTTTATAATAAAAATTTCAGAATTTTAAAAATGGTCGAAACTGATTTTCGTGAAAAATAACATACAAAACCTCTCTATTTTAGGGGTAAATATTTTGTAATAATAGAGAAAGAGAGAGCGAGGGAGAGAAGAAATAGAAATATGCTAGGACGGATTGTAAATATTATGTTCGTTATGAAAAATAAATATGTGCGTGTTATTAATTTATCCTAACTTCTCTTATTTCCATTATTACTCTAAAATTATTATTATATAATATTTCCAAGTACCTTATTCGTGATGATGTAGAAGTTGTATCTGACGTCGATGATGATGATTTAATTTAAAACATTTTACTTTAAGTAAAATACCACTGTTATAATACCAATATTGTACGATTCTACACTTATCGTCTGTTTAAAGTAACGATGTTTTCACCCACATGATTTATTTGTACTTATGCAAATTTACCTAACTTAACTGTATTATCAAGGACTTAACTGTGGAAAAAATGAGTACAAGATCATTCGGGCGGCGCTCTACTTCACAAACTAGACTGTTGTAGAGAAATACCTACAACGCTGAACGGTGACTGAAGGACCGATCACGGATGCCTTGTTGCAAGCTGTTTTATTTGGTTAGTCCGGATGTGGCGCCCTTGTCTATAATGTTCTGTAGAGGGGTGTATAGTGTGTGTTCATTGGTGAATTCCTTATGGGTTTCTGTCTCGTTTGCATGACTCCTCCCATTTAAGTTTTTTTATTAGACACTTTTGAAATGGTACCGTATATATTTCATTTAGGGGAACGGAAAGCGTCAATTTTTTTACAAATAAAGACTAAAACGCGGAGTCAATTTCTGAAGGGTCTACCGAACCGATTTAAATCATTTTTTTAAATTTGTACAATAGATACGCCAGAAAATGACTTCTACGAATGTCATTTTTTATCAAACCTTCGTCATAACTCGGAGGAAAACAATTTTAAAGTATTATATTTAGAAAATTGTAATAAGTGTAAAAAGTTAATAAAATACAATATAATAATAATGAATTATATGCGTTAATATTTATGTTCCAAAAGTTGCTATCAAAAAAACTAAGTTTGGAGTGGGGTAAAAACAAAAAAAAATTGTAAGAAATTGAAATCACATTGTATAAAGCATTATGGGGAAAAAATGCGATTATTAATTAAACCCGGTGAGATATTGAGTAAATCATGATGAGTTGATCACTCTGTATATGTATATATATATTTACCGGGTGATTGGTTAACTATGAACCACTTAATATCTTTGAAGATATTACAGACTTTTTTCTATTTTATTTTTTTTTTTACTTTAATAGTTATTATTTGGGACAAATTTGATATATTTTCAAAATTTAAACACCATCCCTTATGCGTTAAAACCATCTCAACTTCGGATTTTTAAATGGAAACCCCCAATTTGTTTTGTTTTTTGATGATCGTGTTTATTTTTTTTATAATTTGTTTTTATATATAATATAATATAGTGTATAACATCAATATATACAATTTTAAATTTACCCATAAACGTACAATGTATAAAAATCATGTACTTGAGTCATCGCGTAATCTACAATAGTAGAACATGCAACTTTATCGCTCAATATACAGAATAACACTAAAAAGTAAAGTCGGAAATCATAACAGATACCAACTATACAATGTCATTTAAAGGTATTATAATTATCATTTTGATGAGGAAATCCTAAAACCATTTAAAATAAATTGTATTATCGGTGTACTACAATAGTATAACGCGCGACTGACGCAGGGTTAATAAATACGAGATGCTTTTATAAGTTTTACAACTAAAGAAAAAAAAATCGTTTATCGCCGGATTCTCGATTCACAAAATAAGATTAATTAACGTATTGGTCGACGGTTGTAGGATTAAAGTTAATGGTTGACGGTCGTCGGTCAAAACGATAAACAAACTAATAATAAATACATAATATAAATGGGTCATGTCTTCTTATCAGTTTTTTCTGTAGTGTTCCTAGCAGTGTGGTGTACCTGCACGTATTGAATACTCGTACTATCATTAGCTGCTGTTATGTATCAATAAACATGAGCCCTAGAAAATCGTTTTTTTTTTCAATTTCAACCATAGGTTACCGTAGTCTAATCACGGTCTTAAATAGAGTATAGACCGTGGTTCTACCAAAACGATTCGTTACTAGCGTAGATTAATAACAATCCACCTTGTGAGTTGTGCGTTTTCTGTTGCATAAATGAGATAGTTTACAAAAAATACGACTACTTGTAAACTAATCAAAGAAGTTCTTTATTCTAATTTGTCAATAATTATTGTTATTTAGACTCTTGGTGTTAATAAGTGTTAACTTGTACTAGTGTTTTAATTAGTGACATTATTAATTCTGTTAGTGAAAATATTTTTAAAAAAACTTCAGTAAATAAAATACCATTTTTTTGTTTTTTCAGTATAACATTGTATTACAATTTACATACAGTTAATAGATAATATATAGGTACAGAATACAGAATATATACAGAAACAAACAATAACTAAACTTAATATGTACAGAAACTATTTTAGCATTTGTTTAAAACGCTTTATGGTAGGTACATAAGATGTCAAACAACATCTTTATAAGGCATCTATTGTGTTTATTAAAATGTTTAGATAACAAAGGATTCCATAAGAAATACGTTCATCCAATACTTGTGCACTAAAATAAATTTCCATTTTTATAATTTAAAGTTGTAACGCATCAGTTTTAACTATTTCTGGTTCAGTATTTTTAATTATTAAAAGCCGTATTTATTTATTAACTCTTTATTATATTACCATATTAAGTCTATACTGTATACATTTCATAATATTGACTATTGTTACTTAGTTTAATGTGTTCATATGAATAGTAAAAGAATACTTTTAATTTAATAAATGGTTGTTTTTCTCGTTGTACGAGGTATAAACAAAAATGTAGAGTGGCAATAAAAAGTAAATTTTTTTTGTATTTGTGCGGCTTTTTTAGTAGACATAAGCTTAAAATTCAATAATGAAATTACCGACAAACATTTAAATCTATATTATATTATTATGTTATGTTTATTATCATATTAGTTAAATAAAAATACCAAGTAACAAGATAAATAGTACACTTTCAAGATATGAATAAGATTTTTATTTGATAAATCATATTAAAAAACTAGGACTAAATAAAATTACAATTTTTATAATTAACTTATAAATAGAGGTGCAAAATATTGTTCATAGAACGAGGAAGTTATGATACTATACTATAATAAACTATGAAATTAAGACGTACAAATCGCATAAATAAACAAAATGTGTCAAATTAACCAAAAAAAAAATTTCTAAATGCTGGAAAAATACACAAGGTATTGATAACGAATTAAACATACATACTATTTTACAAAATAAATAAATCAATACAGAAGTGTGCAATGGTGGTAATATTTGTCATTTAATATAGCGGCTATCATTATTATTTACTATCGGTTAATTATTTACCTAAAGTGAATAGTAAGTGGTAGTTGGTATGTTTATGATTTTTAACGCTACTATAGCTATTGTCAAAGTTAATAGTCAATAAATAATAACAGAGTACAGTTAAGTGCCACTAAGCATGTTAGCGTCTTCAAGATATTTAATTTATTTTTTGCGCTACCCTTAATTTTAAAACTGTATAGCTCGTTAACTACTCAATCAATTTACCTAGTTTTTACGCCTAAAATTAAATTAAAAAAAATTAGGGGTTACCATTTAAAAATACAAAGTTGAAATGGCTTTAACGCATAAAGGATGGTGTTAAAATTTGAAAATATATCAAATTTGTCCCAACTAATAATTAAAAAATATAAAAAAAAAATTTTAAAAAGTCTTATATCTTCTAACATATTGAGTGGTCCATAGTTAACCAATCATCCGGTGTATACGATTTGTCGTTAGTTGACATGTCACCACAGAACATTTCCAACGTATATTATTTAAATTAAGTCACAATATAGTATAGTCAAAGCCATCTTTTATAAGTATTTTGGTCTCATCTTGGTAGAAGGTGTTGCGGCCATCACCACAGTTCTCGCCATAGTGAGAAATAAATTGATTTAAAGTTTGAACGATAAACAATTTTTTTTTATAATAATGATGAATTTCAATAAGAAATATTTAATATTTTTAAACGATCAAAAAAAAATTATATAACCAATATTCGGACCGTACAAATTGTCCGCGTTTAGCATTTTAAACAATGGACCGTACAATGTAACCGTTTACTATACATTATGGAGGTTTTTTTTTTAATCGACGTTCCCCAAAAGGCTTTAAATTATGAAACACATTCCTCTAATATTTGAAATTTTTATCTTTATCCCTTAAACTCTCTATTTTGACGAGAAGCGTTTACTTAGGGTTATAGATAATTAAACGAGGAGTATTTTGAAATATGTATGAGATAAGATTGTCAGTTCACTTGAAAAATATTTTATGGCCGAGAGAAGTTTTTTTTGTAGGTTATCGTTGAAACAGGAAGACGAAAGGAGAAAGATTAAAATCCAAAAAAAATACAGAAATATTTTTTCACAACTTGAATCCTTTTTGGAGGGACGTTGAATTAAATTGAAATAATAATATAAATAAAAAGGAACACTCTTATTGTGAAACAGAACAGATGGAGTTTATACATCTGATCTGTTTCACAATAATACAATGCGTCTGACCGACTTCCTTTTAATATACCCTGTATAACTAGTATATAAATAGTAATAGAATTATATAATAATAGGGGTCCGGTTTCGAATAGATTAAAACTATGTGACAGAAAATAGAGGAAGTCTTAAGGCTATGTTACAGCTGGATTTATCATGAAAGATTGACAACTGAATCGCCGTTATGTGTTGTCGGACAACTTTTTAAATTATGAGATAATCATTAACATTTGGCTATACATTTTTAACCGAGGAATACTTTAAAACATCGATGAGATGTGGTTGTCATCATCCCGAAAGATATTTTATTCTGACTGAAGTTTTTGTTGTAGGTAAAGGCTTATCGTTGAATCTTTTTGGGGAGTGTTGGCTTAAATTTTCATAAATATAATAATAGGGACCACCCTTGTATACATTTCATTTGTTCTGTTTCACAATAATGCAATGCGTCTGGCCGACTCCCTCCTAATTTACATATACCCCATATAACCACTTTATACAGTAATATATTTATATAATAAAAGCAGTCCAGTTACGAATACGTTACAATCTGTGACACAGGATCGAGGGAGTTTACCACTTTAAAATAACATACGATTTATTTCTGTCTACTATTTTATAGTAAGATACTGCTTGCAAAAATGCCTTTATCATCTAAATATCCTTTAATTCTACACATTTCTGTGTCCGGGTTTGTTTAGGTCTGAATTGAACATTACAACTTGTTATGATTTTCATGTCATATTTGGATATAATTTTAAGCTGTTGTTAAGTATGTGCTTCTTAAAAATTCCTGTGGCGGTAACGGGTATTGAAATCATACTGAAATCATTATTTTACAAAAAATACTGATGGCTGCTATCATATTATTTTTGTAGTACAATGATTAAACTTTCGTTATACTAATTACAATACGTTATACTTGGTGTTTATAATTTA